AATATCTTCATAATAGGCTACCCACGCGCTATTATTTACATCACTTAGGTTTGAACATTGATCCAATATGTCCAGTCTGCAAAAACAAAGAGGAAACCCTTGAGCATATTTTCACAACTTGTATTGCTGTTAAAATGTATTGGACAACTCTAGGGCAAACTTTTTCTCGGGCTAAAAGGAACACTCAGTGGATTCATAGTATTAGAAACCTAAGTTCCTTTACCCCCTCCCCCTATCTCTCTTGGGAGAAGCTCTTCCCCTTTGTCATGTGGAGTATTTGGGTAAATAGAAACAGCAATAACCACAACAATATGGCCCTTAATTTCAATCTATCACATGCAATTTCCCTTGCTTTAGAGTTTAACCTTCTCACTTCAAAAGAACCCTTAGTGGCCCAATCCCATACTATCAAGATTGCATGGCACAAACTCTCTCCAAATTTTTTCTAACTGAACATAGACGGAGCCTTTCAAAAAAACTCAAATATGGGAGGTATGGGTGGTGTTTTCAGAGACCATAGAGGAGACTGGGTAATGGGTTATCAACACTCCAATCCCTCAGTTTCCCCTCTCCAAACTGAATTAGAAGCTCTAAAGATAGGACTTTCAATCGCCCTCAGCCATGGTTATTCTCCACTAGTGGTGGAAACGGATGCAACGAAGGTCATCAAAGTATTACATTCGAATTGTGTGCCTTACAACTCTACTATTATTGATTGTAGGTGGTTAATGCACCAGCTGAAGCAACCGAAGATCATCCATAATTTTCGGGAGAGAAACAAGGTAGCTCACAAGATGGCTAAGGAAGGACTCAAGCATGCACGAAAACACTAACTTTTTGTCAATCCATTGCCTTTAGTATTAAACTAGTGAGAGTAGCCCGGAAAAAAGCCCGGGCCCAACATGAACAAAGCTATACAATTGTAACAAAGGATATAGTGACGATATCTCCAAGGAATGAGCTTGTGTAGAGAAATGGAACACTACTAAACTATCACATCTAATAAGAGAGAAACAGTTTTTTATGTAAAATACTAACTATGCTATAAAATATATTATTTTGTGTACAATATTTATCAAAGACGAAAAAGTGAAGATTCCTTTACAGAGCACTTTTGTGACTGCAAGAAGCAAGAAACAATAACTACATCATATTCTTTGTAGTAATAGCTTTGAGTAGTATGAACCAGACTCCATGACTTTGGCTGCCAGCAAATTTGAGAAATCACCATCAACTGAGAAAGCATTGAGAAACTGATGTAAGCCTGCTAAATGATATGCTCCTGAGTCCTAAATTATGGCATAGCATATTGCAGCAATTGTGGAAATACCTAATTTATACCTTAGAGTAAAAAATAGCTTTCTAGTCATCAATTTGATGTATAAAATTCTTGTGATCACTTCAATTCCTGCATCTTGAAATCTAGTGTGTTTTTGGCATATAGGTTCCAAAAGATTTTTTGAAAACTTTAGGTACCTTCTGAAACCTATATGCCAAAATTTACTATTTGGCTAAAATAGGCGTATTTCAGAAAATTATACAGATATACTTGCTAAGACGGAGGAGAAGTGATTTAGCATATTAGATAATTTGATGGATTTTTATATCAAGTTGAGGTATCAATAACCTTGGCAAAACTAATACATTTAGCTAAAATTATGATAGTACCCTAATGAAAAACCAGAGATTCATGTCACAGAACAATGTTATTCCAATGTCATCAAATGAAATTAGCATGGTTTTTGAAATTTCATCATTCTCCAACATAGTAAAAAAGTACACGGAGCCACGAAAAAGAGTTAAAAGACAACAAATTCAATGCTCAGTAACAACATCACTAATGTAATTCGGTTAAGCTTGCTTTAACAAAACCAAGTAGGCTATGTAAAGGTTAGCACATAGCCAAGCAGACTATGTCTTTGGTTTCATTCCTTATGTTCTGATGTAAGGTTATGAGAACATAAAAGTTATATCAGGTATAGCATGCATACCCATCTCGGTTGGCAAAATCATTATGTCAGTTATATCTATGGTAAATACAACAACACCCAGCAAGTTATTTACCTTTTTTCCATGTGGCTGAAGGAAGCAGTTAAATTGCAGGTCTGCACCTCTACTCGGTATCAGCTGTGGTTATAGATGGAAGTATAAGCTATTTGTGAGATTAATCTTAAATGCTTAAATAAAAACTAATTAATCTAAAGCTTCAACGAATCTTTGCAAACTAAATAACTCTACCAATATAAACTTCGTCGAATATATGTACGAAAAGGAAAAAATCATTTAAAAAAAGTTCAGCGGTGAAACATGTACTACCCATGTTTTGCCAGAAAGTTCAGAAGAAAACTATCTTACTACTATAGTGAGCACTTCCAGTGCTGTAATCCCAAATGACAGGTAAAGCATCCTAATTACACGATGATGATGAAAAAAAAATCCACATCAGACTCCAGGAAGAACTAATTATTAGCTAAAGTATGTCAAATGATTTTCAAGAAATGGTCTGTTCCAAGCTACTCTTACCTTCAAGTCCACTTGGGTGATATTGGATCTAGCCAAATTTTTTCTTAATTTTGTCAATTCATCCAGAATCTGCAGCTTGACTGTTCTCCTAATAATGCATTGTCAATGTGCCATGAAATCTCCATAAGTTGTGATTCATGGTGCATTCTGCCTTAAAAATTAAATACACTTCTGCGAGCTAAATACTTATGATGAAAACTTGAGGATGAAAAGAGTAACAGTTTTGTTGCCATGACAGCATCAGCCTGCAAATATAAATTATAAGGTTCCAAAGCCAATTTGAGAGATCAAAACCAGTATGAAACATACTTAATCTTTAAAAATTTAACACATGTAATAGTTAAATCACTTTGAGTTCTTTCATAAGAAGTTTCGACAAAAAGATAACAACATATTTAGGTGTCTCAAGGTGTTTCCTGTGATAACATGCCCTTTTAAATAGCATACTTACTCTTATACTATAATTATGTAAAAGAAATCATTACAATACATTACCTACTTATGCATATAACAGACTTTCTATCATTTAACAGCTTAGGTATCTTCTAACTGCAGCACAATATCACGGCAGAATTTTCCCCTTGGCATTAAGAATCAAAAGTACACATGATCAAAGAAATATAACACGTTAACCATCATTTTTGTTGTAAGACACTAAATGAAACTTCCTTTTTACTCTTCTGTTTCTTCACTGCACATTTTAAAATTAATTCAAATACCAAAAAGTAACTTTTATCTAATAGCATTGAAGCCATAGCGAAGAAAGGTGGGAAGTTTAGAGATATGGTGAAGTCTCTCTCCAATAAGTCTTCTGTTTGTAGGCAAATTGAACTTTGGATGCTTGTACAAAAAAAATAAAAAAAAATAAACTTTGGATGCCAATTGAATAGAAAATCTATAAATCTGTTGGAACCAAATTTTGTGCAGAAAGGCCTTCTTAGTTCTTCCAAGTCTGTAGGGGCAAAAACGAACAATGATAAAAATTGGATAATTATTACTTCAACTACTAACACATTAAATATCCATATTTCACAACAACATTTAGTTGATAGCCCTGTGTCAAGTTTCAAAATGACCTGAGCAATCAAGTGAGGCCATAAGGATTGAACAAAACTTACAGTCTGCAACTTTTATGGCCGTTATGCAGTTCAGATATTCTTATTTATATACAATTGATCAGAAGAAATGACAGCAAAAGCTGTTTTGGTAAATTTAGACCACACATTTAAATCAGTTAAAGTTGTGAGCTAACATTTATTGAAACAGCATAATAAGAAAAATTAGGTAGTTTCTTTCAGGCAATTTCTCAAACACTTCTAGTGCAAACCCAAATGCAGTTTGTATAATAACAGACTCAAATCCATTCTTACTGCACTTTGATAGAGGTTAAACAGATGAAAATTAAGACTAAACCCGAAAAAGAGCAAGTTGAAGACGCACAAAAGCGAGCGCAACAACATATCACCAATTAGCTTAAAATTTTAGACAAAAGTACTCAAAATCTTCTATCCAAGTTCAAAATATGAGAATTTCAAGCCTTAGCTGAGAGACAGACGGGGAAGAAATTAAAATGTATTCGCACTGACAATGGTGGTGAATATTCTGGTCCCTTTGATAACTATTGCAAGGAACAAGGAATTCATCATCAGAAAACTCCGCCCAAGACGCCTCAATTGAACGGTTTGGCAGAGAGGATGAATAGAACTCTAGTTGAGAGAGTTAGATGCTTACTTTCAGAGGCTAAACTTCCAAATACATTTTGGGCGGAAGCACTTAACACTGTTGCCTATGTTATCAATTTGTCTCCTGCTGTTGCTTTGGATGGTGATGTCCCAGACAGAGTTTGGTTTGCCAAAGATGTTTCTTATGATCACATGAGAGTTTTTGGGTGTAAAGCTTGTGTGCATATTCCTAAAGATGAGAGATCGAAACTGGATGTCAAAACTAAGCAGTGCATCTTNAGAATTTCCCAACGGAGCAGCAGTGGTAACGATGAGAGTAAGCAGAGAGTAGTATAGCGACATAAATTTTATGTTGTAGTAACCACGTGTCAAACATAGAAGAAAGCGGTAATACGTGTCTATCAGGGCTAATGTATGCAATTATGATAATACCCTCCTGACCCATTTTACAACCGGATGCAGCTAACTTAAGATCTGTCAAACTGTGCTCCACGTGTTAGGCTGTAATGCAATTACATTTTTATCCTTGGGTCAGGCAGACATGTTGACCATGAGCTGCCTGGTTATTCCCATTTGTAGTATAGGAATAGATAAGTTAGCAATGGACAAGAATGGCTATGTGTATTTGCTTAAAAATTTCAGCACTCATGTGTGTTTTAGTTTGGCCGAAATGGAGAATTTGTATGTCCTCGAGGCTTGTAGTTTTGTTGATGATGTAACTGTTGGTACTCTGTAATGCTTTAAATAATATTTCTTTTACAGTCAAAAAAAAGAAGAAGAAGAGAATAGGCGGAAGAAGTGTATTAATAACTTATTTAATCTTTTTTACGTGAAAAGCAATGAACAGAATAATATATATGAGTGAAATGTTTCAGACATGTCTCCAAGGTCTTTCAGCAAGATTTACACATTCTTTGTGTCTATAACAATAAAGCAGATGATCAATTGTCATTCCTGCAGCTTGCATGAATGAATTTACAATAACAGGACCAACAAGTCGGAATCCTCTCTTCACCAAATCTTTGCTAATGGCTTCTGCTTTTGGAGTTCTCAGTGGAACGTTTCTTGCATTTCTAAATCTGTTAATTATTGGTTTATAATTCATATGGTTCCACATGTAGCAGCTGAAAGATCCAATCTCCTTCCCAATCTGCATACATAGAGTTTAAATTCTATACATTGATGCTGTAAGATAATTCTTATGTGCTATGGAGTCGTTCAAAAAATAACTACAATTAACTGTCCGTAATAAGTGAGTTACTTAGTAACTTGAAAAGTAAATTAGATAACTTGTTACAGCCAATAAATTATATTATATTAATAGTCTTAAAATATTTACACTTACAATGTATATAAGATAAACTGGGAGGTGGAGTTACCAACTTGATATGGTAAAAATATGAATTTTGCTTTCACATTCTTATCCACTAGAACAATAAAGGCATCAAATTATTAGTGATATAGCAGAAAAGGCATCAAAATTTTTAGTGATAAATTAATAAAATTACTTTTTGCCATATTAAAGTAAATTAAAGTTTATCCACTGTAATAGAAATGTCACAAAATGTACACACTATACAGTGGTAAAGTCACCTTGACATGAAGGTTTTTTGTTAAGGTGGGTAAAATTTAGTAACTTAGTTATAATAGTAAAATTCAGTTACTTTAACGTGACAAAAATAATATTTTCACTATATAATGGTATATATCATAGTTTTATGAGAATTTTGTGATGTTACTGTTATAATAAATAAAATTGAGTGACTATATGGAACTAATGCGTAAAAATGTGGGTAAATGAAGGTAAGAGACTTGCCTTGACTATGCATTTGGCGTTATCAACTATTGATCTAACTCTATTTTCTGCTAACATCAGTGATGCACTCGAGACAATTTCTTTAATCTCCTTCTCCCCCATTTTTGCCACTTGTTTGGCATTAAATCCAGCAAAAGCTTCTCTGTATTACCATACATTGAAAAGGATTCGTGAACTATATATATTTTACACGTGACCATTAATATATTATAAAATAAAGAAAAAGAAACAGCACCCCTTTTCGAGGTTAATAAGAGCTAATTACGAAGTGGAAATTAAATTAAAGTTTGTACCTAATTAGTTCCCTTCTCTTTAAAATTTCAGTCCAGTTGTAGTCCATCAACAGTCCAGCCAACGAAAGTAGCTCGAACAATCGACTGCAGTGTATGTGTGTTTACATTTGACCAGTTACTAATATTCTCTTGTGAATTATCACTAATTATTCATTAAATTTAATTAGTGAATATGCTGTAAAATATTAAAAAACTTACTGGTCGTCATACACTGGAACACCCCAGCATTCATCATGGAACTGCACATAAACCTTATCTGTATATATAGCAAACCAATGAGTCTTTTAAAAAATTTATTTTGAAACTAAGGAAGATCAATAATCCAATTAACTCCTACTTTCATGCCCAATTTTGTTTTAAAGTCAATTTTTCACTAAAGAATGTATTATTAAGATCTGTAAGGCACATTATGCTAGTAAAAGAGAATTTAATTAACTAACTATGTAAATTGACAATGTAAAGAACGTTTTAAGACCATGTTATTTTATTTACTACATTTTTTAGGTAGCTGGATTAGGATTACTACATACCATTATATATTATTGTTGCAAGTCATCTTAACTGATCACATAAAATCATGGTGGAATCCCAATTTAAATAAAAAGTACTAAAGAAAAACACTAACAAAGATTAGATTATACTTTTTTTTTTTTTGGTGGTAATTTATACTAAGAAAGACTAGATTTATGCAAGAGCCGTGGAAACAGCCTCGTGCAGAAATGCAGGGTAAGGCTGCATACAACAAACCCTTGTGGTCCGATCCTTTCTGACCGCGCGTATAACGTGAGCTTAGTGCACCGAGCTGCCTTTATACTAAGAAACATTAGATTTTACATGTTTTTTGTACTTTATAGTATGAATCGTTAGATTATATTGGTTCCAAAGAAAGAAAAATGAGAAAAAGAAAAGGAAATGTAATGGTAGTTGAAATATATATACCACTGGTACTAGTTATCCAGCTGCACCTCATAAGCTCTTTCTCACTAGGACATGGCCTAGCATAATTTAAAGAACGACTAACATTTTTAATTGCTGCTGGAACTTGTCTTCTTTGAAAGGCCGAAGAGAATTTCTGATCATCTGAATTCTGAGATAGAGATAACGAAAGAGAAGAAAGGGAATAATTAGTATTATGGAGTTCTATTGGGTAAACTTTCTTCAAGTGTTTGGATAAATAAAACAAGTTATAATTCTTGCTTGATTTGGAGCTGCTACTACTACTACTTCTACTACTACTGTATTTCTCTATTTCATATGATCTTCTTACATTTGGCTTAGACATATCTTTGAAGAAACAACAAAAATTAAGGTAGTCTTTCGCTTAAATTTGGTTGAAGTTTATAAAGATTAGACTTTGAAGAAAAGTTGGTTGAATGTGAATTTCATTACGGACGTACACCTTTAATTTTATATACTTATACCTCAACCAACTATTTTATGGAAAGGATAATTGCACTTTTGATCCTTCCATAAATCTTGATTTTGGTTCTTGTACAAATATTTCACTAAGCATAATCTAGTGTTTTTGGTCCCCTTAGGATATTTAAATTATTTTCTAGAATTATGCTACCTCAAATTAGGTGTGAAGTATAGTACAAATTTGATATCATACATAGGTAATTAAATAATTTAACATCTAATAGTTCGGTAAATTTACAAAGATTCACAAGCAAAATGATCAAAACTACATATTTCGATCAAATGAAGGTTAAATGTACTTAACCAAACATCACAAGAACCAATTTCAAAATTTATCGGTATTTCGGGGACTAATACCCCAGATTCCCCTTTAAGAAAAATTAAGAAAATGAGTGGTTTGTTGGATCTTTAAAATATTACTAAAAACTTGACTGAGTTCTTAATTATTTTTTTATGGGGTCAGAACTGAGTTTTTAATTGAAGTGTAGGAAGTAGTCTTTTCAGAAACAAAGATTCCTAGGTAATGGCTTCATTATTATGCCATAAACTCAAAGATCTTAACCTTAAAGTGGTTAGGTAATAAATTAATAGAGATTATTTAACATAACACAAACTTCAACGCTAATCACAGTGAAGACAATTTCAATTAATTAATCATTTTTAATTGTCGATAGTTTAGTAGTCACTGTTCAGAAATATAATTGTCAATCTGAGTTAGTACCGAAAAACCAAAAGAAAATTTATCTCTACTACCTGTAGTACCAAATACTGCATTTCCACTAGCTTTTTTCTGTCCATTTTTTTTTTATGTTTGCTTTTTTTGTTTTTTGTTTTCTGTTTTTTGTTTTGTTTTTGAGTGCTAATGAAGATGTATCTACAGTCTCCTGTCAAATCAAGAGCTTATACTATCCATGTTTTCTTCGTTCATATTACTTATTTCATCAAAAATTCTGTCTCAACTTCCTATACTTTTCTTAATTTCCAAGATCTTTTTTTTTTTTTTTGACAGTGAAATATGCTGAAAGACTTTGAGAAAATTAGGGAAGGGCTGTACATATAATAGTAGACTGTAGTAATGTATCATTCAGTCACAACAAATACTTTCAAGAAAATTTAAAATAATTAATCATTAGTTCAACTGTTCACCTCAGTGCAAGTCAGGTTTTAGACCTAATACCACTATTTAGCCCTCAAAAGGATGAGAAAAACCTATTTTGGCTGCATAGATGACAATATACTATCTTCTCCATCATTTCTATATTTCGTCTAAACAAATTATATTTCATCCATCTTAGTTCTAATATACTGACCATACTATGATATATATGCATTCTATTATGAAAAAGGTGTTCTCCTTATAAGTAACATTTTAAGAAAAATATGCTGTCGACTTTGCAACAAATTGAATTACAGTTTTACTAAATGCAAATGCTTTTTTCGTCATGTTTATGCTTGTACTTTGAATTTGCCAACTATTAAATTACTCCACATTGGGCACGTAACTTCTTAATTTGATCGTTGGATCGAGCGTGACCAAAATAAGAATTTTTACAATAAAATACGACTAGTTTTTCAGCAAAAAATACAACGGAAAGGATGCATTCTGAAATTATTTTGGTTGAAACATAGTGTTATTAGAATTCTTATGATAATATATTATGTTACGGTAGACAACAAACCAGTTGGAGAATTTTTTCCCTTAATCAAGGCTATTATATTGTTATTTCTTATTAAATGACCTGTTAGGTATGCCGATGGTAAATATGTTTACATGAAGACATGTGAATGCAAATTTAGATCGACTCTAAGTTTTATATGCATTGAAGAAGTCAAAAATAATTATATAATAAGTCACTTATAAAGTAATTATAAATAAATTTTTATGATAACTTGGTAACCTAATAAAAATAATAACTTGCTAAAACAATAGGTTAAACTACAATGAATGTTTACAAAAATGTACATTATCGGTTTATATAACTATAATCCAAATCAAACTAATTGTCCGAACTTTTTTACTTATGTTATCATTATTAATATTTTGCCGGAAATATTGATTAGTTTTAACTTATAACCCAAAAAAAATAGATCAAAAGGCAAATGTTTTTTTTTAAAGAACAAAAAATGTGTGGATCACTCACTAGTAATTGTGATTCCATTTGAATTTACCACCATCACCACCATGAAGTAGGCCCACAATAAAAAATGTGTACTGAAGATGATCATATCCCTCCAACAAGAAGCAGCCATAACCTCCAAATATTTTGCGCATATATAGAAGGAACACATGGAAAGGAATTGACGAAACTCAAACAAAGCTGAAGAGGGAAATCACAAAAAGAACGATCATTAAGGTCGTGATCGATAACACTCGTACAATAAAGAAGCCAAGGTCTTTTGCAGAAATGACTAATAGCTTGTTTGGCGAAGCTTCTTCAAGCCAAAAGCATTTTTTTAGCAGAATACATAAACAGGCACAAGTTGGCCCCAGATATCTCTCTCACACTCCAACTTATCAAGTAACTATCTAGACACTTTATGTTGGGGTAAGTGTGTCTCATGAACACCCGAATGCAGCAGGTCACATGCGTGAATTACAAACACAAATGATGTGGCAAATGAACAAATTAGCAAACGATACGCGTATTTTTTTTTTAATAAAAAAGAGAAAAATAATAACCTTTTTTAAGTTGAGAAAACACTTACCCCCACCCCACCCCCACCCCACCCCGAACCTAATCTTCTTCATCTTCATGAGAACTCATCCCACCGTCCCTTCACCCCTTTTATTATTTGTCTTCTTCATCCAGAATTTCACCAAAAATACCACCTCCACGTACGCTTATTCTTCCTCACCGTCAACCACCAGAACGTCAACCATCCATCTCCCAAACTTAGAATTTGAACTATTTGTGGTGATAAAAAGAATCAGAGAATGGGTATGAAATTATTTTCATGCCCACTCTCCAAATAAATATAAGTGTTGGAATTTATTGTTTTTTATAAGCAGAATTCATGGCAGAAGTAAAGACATGGAAATTATTTTTTTTTTTTTTTTAAAGAATTACAAGAAAATACACATGAATTCACACTATAATAAAAAATGGCCCATATTTTTAAGTTTTGCGCGACCTAGCCCACATTGTACATATTTTGTAAGCACTAACAAATTCAAAATTTGTGTTCTTACAATCATTGCTTCTAAAAGCTATGGAGTTAAATCTGTGTTCTCACAACTATTGCTTTCACTCTCTCTTCTTGTCACATCTTCTACATATGCTTCAAGGGGCCGTGTCTTTTCTGCTTCTCCTCTTGTATCACCTGCTTGCAATGTAATAAGAAAAGTGAAGAGTAGAAGTCCACCATTGAAGACCATTCAAAGCTTTGCTTTCGAAAATGGATTTTTTTGAATTTGTTAGTTGTTTGGATTGGGTGTTGTTCCAATTGATTGAAAATATCAAAAGGAGTTCAAAATTTAAATTTGAAGTGATTTGGAGTAGATTTGAGCAAGATTTGAGTTAAATTTCAGAAAAGACGCAAGGAAGAAAACGAAGTCAGTTTTTTGTATAATTATGTATAATCTTGTATAATAGTGTATATGAGTGTAGAACACACCTTATACACTTTTATACACCTTTATACAAGCGTCTGTAGACGAACTTCTTCCACGATTTTCAGTTGCAATTCTTGTTCAAAACTAGTCCAAATCTCCATTAAATGACTTCAAATTTTATATACAACCTCCTTATACTATTTTTAACAAGTCTAAATAACACCCACTCCAAATTTCTCACAAAATCAAATTCAAAATTTAAGCCCACATATTTAAGCTTGTTAAAAATCTAATTTTCACCACCCAAATAAATTTGGTTTGTTGAACTAATATTTGAGTTATAGTTACTGATTCAAAAAATAATTCAAAAGCTTGAGGAATCTTTTTTAAAAATTAAATAGTAATTTTGAGAATCTATTGGAGTTGGATGTTGAATCTTAGCCTATTATTTTTGGGCTAATTGGTTAAATTAAAATATGAGTTATAAAATTGAAAAGTAGGGAGCTCAGTTGTTTTAATGTGAAATTTTCCCTTTTTTTAAGTGGTGAATAAGAAGGACGAAGGTGAAAAATCTAGATAACCTCGGTTTCATTATCACCGTCGATGACGACGATTGAAGATTTTCCATTAACAGGCAAAATGGATGAACATTATTTTGTGTTGTTAAATTTGGATTGTTGCGTAACAGAGATATTTTTGGTGAGCCCATTTTGAGGATCTTTCTTGTCTTTGAGCTTGACCAGTAATGCGATAATAAGAATTAATGTAACATTAAGAATTTTGGGCTTCTAAATTTTCTGTTGATATGTGGAATTAAGCGTTTGTGAAGCTTAAAACTTGTGAAAATGGTGGAAAAAGTCACCAGAAATTTTGAGGAAGGAAGCTAAAGAAGGCACCACATGAAAAAAAATTAAAGTAAAAATATAATTTTAAGGGCCTTCACACGCTCAAATATGAGTGAGACACACTCATTTTGCTATGTCACTCGGGGTGTTTACGAGACATAAAAACCAACATAAAGTGTCTATATGGTCACCTGGTAAGTTGGAGTGTGGGAGAGACGTCTGGGATCAACTTTAGGTGTCTGTTTATGTATTTTGCCTTTTTTTTTTTAAAAAAGTATTTTTTTTCCCAAATTGGAGTGTTTGGCCAAGCTTTAAGAGTAAAAAAAGTGCTTTTTGAGGAGAAACAGAAGCAGTTTTGGAGAAGCAGAAAAAAGTAGCTTCTCTCCAAAAGCACTTTTTGAAAAACACTTTTGAGAAAAATACACTTAGAAGCAGCTTTTAAAAGCTTGGCCAAATACTAATTGTTGCTTAGAAATGCTTTTCAAATAAATTAGCCAAACACAAACTACTTCTCACCAAAAGTACTTTTGAAAAAATCACTTTTGAGAAAAAGCATTTTTCAAAATAAGCTGATTTTTGCAGTTTGGCCAAACAGGCTATAAGAAGGAGGAGGGCGTCTCTTTGTTGATGGTATCCACATGCAAAATCTATTTTTTACTTCTATATATTATGTTTTGAATCCCCTTGACACAACTCAAAAGCATAGCTTAGTGGTCAAGGGGGTTCAAAAATTTTGTAAGGTCACTGGTTCAACTTCACTACATACAAAAAAAAAAAATTTAACTTTTCTTTTTTGAACCCCTTAACAGAAATCCTACCTCCGTCACCGACCATACGAGCCTATTGTATTTAGCAACCATGTGTGTGGAAAAAATATGTATTTTTTGAATTGGACGAAACTTTTCCCATACAGCGTTGTCAGCGCATGCATATCATGCACTATATGTAATTTGATTTTTTTTGTACATTATTTCGGTTCTTTTGAAGATCAATACTTTACCTTACTTAGGTTCTGGACCCTGAAATATTGGTTTTATAAAAGACTGTTTCTTTGTTGCGTAATCAATCGCAATGTTTTACTTTCCAAATAGTTTTGTGTTTATCTAGTTTACTTCTCATTTTTCTAATAAATAATACTAATTTTACGGTACGCGCGTTGCGCGTGTATTTCATCTTAGTGAATACATATTTTTAAAATTACATAAATATTATATTAACTAATTACATTTGAGTTATAAAAAGTGTAAGAAAAAAATATGAGTTCCTGAAAAATGATGATAGTTGATTTTATTCAACAATTCAATAAATGAAAAACAATAATAATATAGAAGTTCTAAATCATCTTAGTAAATATTTTAACTTAACATTGCATATCAGAAGTTGTCATGATTACTTTTTACATTCATCGAGAACACATAAACTTTTGAAAATTTAAAATTTTTTCTGAATTCTTTTTGAGAAGTATAGATTCTTAAATTCATTCTAAAAACACTTATAGGATTATCTAACTGATAATAGACATTTTTCTTTTTTATCACAAGCAAAATGTAAATTATTTCATTCTTTAATCAATAAAAATATATTATAGAAATTATAAAACAACTAAAAAAACAAATTAACTTTGAGAATTTGGCCAAATAGGCTCTATCTTGGAGAGGCAAATGTCGAACATTAGCAATGAGATTAGGGGTGTGCTTGGTATGAAGGAAAATATTTTCCGGAAAATGTTTTTCAATTTTCTCATGTTTGGTTTGCTTAAATATTTTGGAAAACATTTTCCTTACTAATTCATTTTCCTTCAATTGGAGGAAAATGTTTTCCTTATCAAAAAGATGGGAAAACATTTTCCAAAGCTCCTTCTTAACCTTCCCCACGCTCACCACCCCACCCCACCCCCTCTCCAAAATAAGTTTTTCTTTTTTTTTTTCAAATTTCACTTTTTCCGTTACCACACCCCCCCACCCTCCCCCGCAAAAAAAAAATTTAATATATTTTTCAGTTTTAATTTTATTATTTATCGGTTTAAAGGCTCAAAGTTTTACAAGTTCCAAAATTATGAGTTCGGAGGTTTATGTGATTGGAAGGTTACGGGTTTAAAAATTATAAAGTTTACAGGTTCGAAATTCCGGGGTTTTGAAAGTTTAGCGGTTCGAAAGTTTATGAAATTTGTGGGTCCAGAAGGTTGTTGGTTTGAAAGTTTATGGCTTCATGTTTATTATATCTAAATTATTTATGAATGCTCTTGAGAAGTCATTTTCCTTAATTTGCGTACCAAACACCGGAAAATGAATAAGATTACTACTTGTTTCCAAGAAACCATTTTCTTGGAAAATATTTTCCACGGAAAACATTTTCCGTTATACCAAACACACCCTAGGTCTTATATTCAGTTGGAAAAATCATTTAGGTGCTTACGAAATTACGAACATATTTTAAATCCGTAGCAATTAATCGAATTTATATTCTAAAATTATAAATTTTAATGACGTCCTTTTCCTAGCATCTCCGAGAATTAGGCCAATTTTATTTACTCGGTAATTTAGTCATACACACCATTAACTGTAATGTGTTACTTTATATATACAATTTGATTAGTCGTATATATTAAGTCTCATGTTTTTAATTTTATGCAATTCTTTTTTCGTTAGAAAATTACAAGTTTATAGAAAATAGACATGCTAGATACGGATATTTCTCCTGTAATATATAAAATACATTTTTAATATAAATATAGTACTTAAAAAAAACTACAAGAACATCATTCAATATAATTACAGACTTGAATTGGTAGCTTGATTACTATGTATAAAATCACAAGAAATTTTAGCACTACAAAAATCTTAAAAGACGTTTATTATCACAAAACTCTTAGAACAACCTAAATGTTAGAAAATTTACTTTAAACATTCTTTTTTCCCTTTTAACTACAGAAAATTTGACCTCTTTAATAGCATATTAAATAGTGATATTAAATAACGGATCTCCTACTTATTGTCTTATTCTTTTTCCTTTTTTAACCTACGAAAGGTTTACCTGAAAGCTTGACTTTCCTACTTCTTCTCTTATTCTTAATTTTTCCTTCATTTTTTAAATTCATTTGTTTGTGTTTACAATTTTATTCATTATAAAGTGCATTTACGGAAGATAAAAGAGGCGAACAATATTTCGCTAAAAACTTTCGTGCTTTTTTAATATAATATAAATATAAATAATTACATTACAATACGCAACAAAAACTGAAAGTAAAGGGAATTAAGTATACCAATATTTTTAAATGGTCGGATAGTTGCAATCACTTATTAACTGAAAAACATATGGTCCAAAATTAAGCCAAAACGGGATTTGTTTCCTACTATAAGAAATGATCTAGACTATTAAATGTAAATTTACCCCCTTTCTTCCGTTTCCTTAGGGGCCAAATATATATACACCCCATTCAACTTAGCACCATTTTTTATTTTGGCACTTTATCTTTACTTTGTTCTATTTTGGGTCTCCAACTCTAATTCTTATGTTCCACTTTAACACAAAAGTTGAAACCAGTGCAAAAAATATAGCGCGTGCATATACACAAGTCTGAGATGTAATAAATATCCAATTAAATATTGCCACCTGGTTTTTTCATCCATGTCAAATGCGTCAATACTAAAATACCCGAACCCGACCGTATTTTTTCATCCACTGTTGCCTCATCTTCATTCTCAAAGTTCCAAAGCTTTCATCTGCCGATTTCATACCTGGCAATCCAGAAAATTTCAAACTTTTGCAATTTTATTTTTCGTTTATTTATTCTGATTTCTGTTTGTGGGTTTATTTCATCTAAGTTTGAAGTGAATCCATGTCTCAAAGAAAATTATTTTTTCATAATAGAATGGATATTTGTTCTTGTGGATTTCAAGTTGAACTGAAAGTATCATGGACACCAAGAAATTCAGGTCGACGCTTTTATGGGTGTAAATTTGACAAAGTAAGTGAACTATTTTCAGATTTCATTTTCAGTGTTGTCATTTTCTTGTGTAAATAAGAAGCAGACTTAATTTTACCCAAATACGGTCGGGTTCATGTATTTTAGTATTGACCCGTTTGATATGGATGAAAAAACCAAGTGACAACATTTAATTGGATATTTATTACATCTCAGATTTGTGTATACACACGCACTATATTTTTTGCACTGATTTCAACTTTTGTGCTAAAGTGGAATATAAAAAATAGAGTTGAAGGACCAAAATGGAACAAGATAGAGATAGAGTGCCAAAATAAAAAATGATGCAAAGTTGAATGGCTGTGTATGTATTTGGCCTTTCTTAGGTTATTTTGACATTAGGAGAATTACTACTCCGTCTGTTCCAGTTTATGTGAACCTATTTCATTTTTGGTCCGTTCCAAAAAGAATGACTCATTTCTAAATTTGGTAACAATTTAGCTTAAACTTACAATTCTACCCTTAATGAGAAGCTTTTACAACCACACAAATACTGTGGGCCCCTTTTTGAGTTGTTTAAGATCACAAATTCTAAAAGTCTTTATTTTTTTTAAACTCTATATCCAATCAAACAAATTCACATAAATTGAAACGGAACGGATGGAGTATTATTATTGTACAATGTTCAAGAAAAGGTATACCTCCCGATTCCTTGAAAACAAAACCCAGCATTTCTTTTTTCTCGTCAAGACCCAAATTTTGTACGAAGTAATAAGGAAGCACGTGTCCTAAATTTTAAAAAGAAAGCACGTGTCCCTGCATCAAAAAGTTTGTTTTACGAAATGACTACTTCACCCTCGATGTTGGTTATTGTGCGTTTTTATGTTAAGGTGATATATGTAAATTCCAAGCTCAGCCCCAAACAGTGACTCAGTCTCTCTTCTTCCCTTTGTACAAACCAGCCAAGTGTCTACTGCTTGGTGTAATTTACCTGCACTTTCCAAAATTTAAACATTTGTATAGAAATTTACCGACTGAAAAATTGTGTTTAGCTTTGTGCCTCGTTGATTCTCAAGGAGTCACGCACGCTAATTCTGGTAAATGTGGTCTATTTATATCTGCATGTGTGTCATTAGTTTATTTATTACGTAGAAGTAATTTCTTCTTTTTCCACATGCAATGGAAAATTATTGTGATCATTCCTCTAGCTAGGTCACTAGAAATGTGTATGATCGTATCCACACAGTACATGGCAAATAAAGGTTTTTTTTTCTTCCTTATAACAGAAAATGAAAGTTTTTGCTGCATGTAACCTAAACAAAAACGATGTAGAGGCAAGAAATAAAAAAAAGATCAATTTTTTGGCAAATTATTGTGTGATTGTGATGAAATTAATTACTTTTTTAGAAGGATAGATATGCAGATTTGAGGATGTAGCAGTTGAAAGAATCGGTCTTGAAAACCGAAGTATTTATAGAAATACCAAGGGTTCGAATCCCTCTCCATAAAAAAAAACAATCAAAACGGCGAATGCTTAAATGACTAAAAAGAATCAAAATAAAAACACTCCCTTGATCCCCCGTAAAGATGGACAATGAGTAGGATTAAATAACCCATTTAGCATCTTAATCAAATAAGTTAATGGATACACCATTTGATTACAAGCTGGAAATGACCGGTCATCTATGTTGTGCAGGCTCTCCAAAATGCTCCCGCACCCATGTCGGATCCTCCAAATATCAACTGCTTTTGGAGGATCCGACACGCACCCACAATACTTTTGGAGAGTCCAAGCAACATAGCCTGTCATACATTTTTTAAAATTTCTCAGTTTCTACCTAATTTTAGTGGGTACTGAATTTCTTGGTGTACACAGGGGACGAAACTATGTAAAATCAGTTTAGTTTGATATAATGATGGTTCATGGTGAAGTTATTGTTTAACAATTGCTAATGTTTTTTGCACTTAGTCCAATTCGATGCTTGTTCAAACTTTTCAGATGAATCTTGCTTTGTAAACTATTGTTTTTTTTTCAGTCAATAGCTTTTGAAAATTTTCACATCCTAGGCGAATCTATCCGAATTTCAGTTGTAGCATAGTTGGGAAAACCAAAATACTTTGAGACAAGAGATACTAAACAATTTCTTTTGTCTTCAACACAGCTACAAATTGAACTAAACCATCCATGGTTTTTTGAAGTTTCTTTTGGTTGTTTCTCCCTTCGTTCGGTATGTGCAAATCACTTAGGTTACGTGCAGGGCATTTTTTCAAGGCAAAAGATAATGGAAGTAGTTGCCTTTGACATCAAGTGAAAGTGGACACTTTTGATGTACTATGTACTCATTTTCTATAGAACTTTGAAGTAGATAGGGATAATATACTTTTCTCTCTGTAGTAATAGATGCACATTGATAAGCTGGTGAAAACGGTTTTGTTCTCTCCGCGAACATTATTGAATGTTTAAAAGTCCACAAATGTTCTCAACGTTTTGCTATCTTACTTATGTAGAAGAGGAGAGAAGAGGATATTTGACATTAGAAGCTACTGAGAATATCTATTCTGTTGTAGTAGTATCTTGAATTCTTGATAGTACATAGAAAGGACTAATTTCTCACGAATCATTATTCCCCTTTTTATAAATTACGAGCACATACTTAATTACTTTTTATGTACTGAGGCGCTTTCTTACTTTCAGTTTCCTGTCAACTCTGGCGGGTAAGAAGGGCTTAAAATTTACTTGTGCATGAGCTTCTTACATGATCAACTGAAGGTTGAGTTGAAGTATCATGTAATAGTTTCTAACTGGATTACACTTGAGTGCAGGTTATTTGGTGGCTACATTGCTCGCATAAGTTGGTAATCAATTGAAATAAGGTTCCCTAAAGAATTTGCTTTTATCGAAAATCTTTTGTCTAACAAGTAGTAAGGACTTTAAAACTTTGTCCACGCAGATGGGTAAAGCAGAAGTAAGAGTCCAAAAATCTCCGATCATTCTCTTCTTTAACTTTGATATTAGGAAAGTCCAGGAGCAAAGTCATTTGATCAAAAGAAAAAATAAATTTAGGAGCATAGTCTCTTGGTTTCCTTTTCAATATAGGCCTTGGTTTAGTGAATGAGATTGGAAATTTGGTTTTGTCTTAATGTTAATTCATTAGAAAAGGTATCCAATGTTTTGTTTCCAAAAGGAATGAACTTTAGTGCTATCTCTCTTGCCTTTGTTTCAGGACATGAAGAAACTTTTGTGTTTTGAGTTTTCTGTGTGAGATTTTCTGGGCTAACTTTTTGCTTTGATGATTGCTCTGTGGAGCTTTAATGGCAGTAATTCACGTTTACCTTATGTAGTGTGCTGAATTATTCTTCTTGATGAACGATTTGGAGTTCTTTTTCTGGCGTGCCTTGAGAAATGGTAAATTTATCTCGTTCCTCGATACCTTATGCAGTTTTTTTTACTTCATTCTGGTCTCACTTATAGTTCAGAAAAGAAAGTATATGATCCTTCTTTATTCATATATTTGATAAATGGAGGAAAATCATTTCTTCTTCGTTTGTATTTCTTGCTTCAATCCCGTGCAGGACAACAATCTTTCTGGAGAAGACAATGACAACATTGACTGGGATACTGAAGATGAATTAGAAATACAAGAAATACAGGACATGACATTTTCCTCATGCACGGATTTAAGAACTACAGGGCAGCATGCTGTTAGTTGTAACGGGGAGGTAAATGCTTTAGGATTTGGAATGGAATAATAACATTGCGTCTAACTTACGGTCTCTTTTGGTCTTCTCTTACCTGAAGGCAAGCTCATCATCAGTACCATCCCAGTCCAAGTTCATTCAGCAGTTTGTAATGATGGGATTTCGTGAAGAATCTATTGCAAAAGCAATAAAGCAAAATGGTATTTGGATTTGCCAAGTCTTTATACAACTAATTTTTGTCCAACTGTGATATTTATGTTATTTTGACTTGAGATGCAGGAGAAAATGAAGGTTTGGTGCTGGATGCTCTTTTGACATTGAAGGTGCGCAATGTCTGCCTCATTGTTTGCTAAACTTCTCATATTAGATTTTGTAAGAGAAGGTAACTGTCTGAGAGAATGAAGATATTCTTGTTCACCAACCTTTGCTCTTCTAATATTTGTGTATACGTGCCACTACTTGCATAAGATCGTCTAGAGTGAGAAGCCCGTTTACTTGTTCAGAGTAAAGTCTAGAATCTAGATAAATCAAGGTTTGTGTTAAATGGAGATGGTGACACTAAGAGATTGTGCCATGTGAACACAGAGGATTCCGAGGTGTTGACTGTGCGACGAATGATGCCAATTGTCCTTTATCCTGTCTGTATAGCTCAGATAAACTTGAATTATGTTAAGAACATGCATGAATTTTATCTGCCTCTCATTGTCATGACTATTTTCCTTCCGTCCTTTAATTTTTTCACAAGTAATGACCTCTAAAACAAGCAAAACTCCCTTTTACGAACCAAAAATAGAAAAAAATTGATCTTTGTTTGCACAAATTTTAGCAGTATTAATCGTACTTTTTGTTTGTCTTCGGACATTGCAGGCCCTTGAAGACTCTCGTGAAGAACAGCCTAATACTAGCTCTCAGCTGAAGCCCTACATTAGTTCTGATGATAGCTCTTCTGAATACAACGAGAACTTTCTAGATGATGTTTATGAGGAAGAAAGTTGGTCCTCAGACTCGGACAGTATAGTATGTTATCCTCAATCATACACCATTCTCCATTTTTCTTTCAATGTCTTGTGTCTTACTGTGGCTTATAAAATAGTCGATCTGGTTTCTCTTTTAAGATACATATAGTCATTTTTTGATCGAACACTTTTTTGATCTCTGCAACATGTCTTTTATGCAATTCAATGTCAGTTATACAGTATTTTTGAACACCCATGGCTTCTTCTCTTACTAGATTTTATGATTAATATGAGGTGATTTAGTTTTACAAATATGTGAAGAACTAAAATTACAAAATATCTGTGATTTTCAGCGACTATCTTTGACAGTCATCGATCAGGCTCTTCCAGTTGGAGGAAACACAAGATATTTCCTTCTTTTTATTTTATTGGTATTTGGGGTACAGAGAAGTGGTTTGTTTTGGAAGTAATTTCTTGAAATGAGGAGATGGTGATCTGTGACAATAGTGCTGAAAGTTGGATGAATGCGACTCGTATTAATTTTTAGCTGCCCACTACTTTTGGGGCTTAAAGGACATTTCGCTCTATTTATGCATCAACTAATATTTCTTTTACCATTTAAGATATTTGCTGGTCCTGAATCCAGGGGCAGATCCACCTTCCGACCCACGGGTTCACGTGAACCCAGTAAATTTTGTCCAAACAGTGTAAATGTGCTAAAAAAATTTACTAAATATCTATAAATATTTGAATGTGAACCCATTATTATTGAAAATTTACTCGAGGTCGTTGCAGGAACTCATAAGCATTAAATCCTGGATCTGCCTCTGCGGCTGAATCCTGTTATGAGTTTTCTGGGCACAATTATGTAAAGATTTTCTAAAATTTTCCTTTTATAATGTGTGATAGTATTCTGCTAAACAATGCTACTTGAAAGACGAGAGCAGTTCTTTGTCTGAAAAAGAGCACAAAGAACGACTCCTGGTAAATATGGGATACCCAGTGGAGGACGCTTCCATAGCAATGGAGAGATGTGGTGCGTATATTAAATAATGTTTTTTCCTGTATATTCCCCCACGGTGTGTGATAAGACTGGGTATGTTGTTGTTGTATTGCTAAGTTTATCTAAATCTCTTATCAGATAAGCTAGACATTTGGTTTCGCTTTTGATATGTATTAATTATGCTAATGTTTTATCACTAGCTGAAGAAATATTTCTCATGCAAGTTCTAGGTAGACGCTACTAAGTTGAGTTCCTAGCCTACTTTGTGCCAACGCCGTTGTATTTAGAACAAAATCTGCTTATTGACGCTGTGATGTTCCTGAATATCTTTTTAGAATTGCAGCACCTATTTTTGAATTCATTTCCAGATTATTATAGTCCTCTTCACAACTTTCTAGGTCCAGGAGCATCGCTTGTTGAACTGACAGATTTCATCTACGCTGCTCAAATGGCAAGAGAAGAAGATGCCTATCTGCCAGAAGATGTAAAGGTATGCTTTCCCCTTGCAGTATTTTGAAATGGATTCATGTGAAGTAATAGTCTATTCTACTCTGTTCGCATTTTTAACTACAAATTAGCAATATTATGTTTCATTAATTGATGCCTTCCTTCCATTGTGACAGCCAAAACTAGGGCATATATTGAATGGTAGTGGTGGATCCATGAAGAGGAAGATGTATAATGAATTATGCAAAAGGAAAAAGCAAAGGGTGATTTGTGATGAAGAGACAATTCGATTGCCCAAACATATGATTGGATACGGGATTCCTACCGAATCAGTTTCAACAATGGTCAAAAGAACTCTTCCGGAGCAAGCTATTGGGCCCCCATTTTTTTATTATGAAAACGTTGCTTTAGCTCCAAAGGGTGTGTGGGACACCATTTCCAGATTCTTGTATGATATTGAGCCCGAGTTTGTTGACTCAAAATATTTTTGTGCTGCTGCAAGAAAAAGGGGATATGTTCATAATTTGCCAGTTGAAAATAGATTTCCTTTGCTTCCATTCCCCCCATGTACCATTCATGAAGCATTTCCCCTGACAAAGAAATGGTGGCCATCTTGGGATACACGAACACACTTAAATTGTTTGCAAACATCCATTGCGAGTGCAAGATTGACAGATAGAATCAGGAAAGCTATGGAGGACTTCGATGGTGAGCCACCTATGAGAGTGCAGAAGTATGTTCTTGATGAATGTCGGAAGTGGAATTTGGTGTGGGTTGGGAGAAACAAAGTTGCTCCTTTGGAGCCTGATGAAGTTGAAATGCTATTAGGATTTCCAAAGAACCATACCAGGGGTATAAGTAGGACCGATAGATACAAGTCGCTTGGTAACTCGTTCCAGGTTTGCGTAACTTTATCTCTTCTGATTTTCGCTATATATCTCCAAGTTTTGTTTCCTTCTCCCCCTTCCCCTTCCCCTGTAATCTTTGGTTTGCAAAATGTATCGTAGCAACTCATCCATTGTTTTACTTAGTTTCTTTTCTTTGTTACAATATTTTTATAGATTGATACAGTGGCATACCATTTGTCGGTGTTGAAACAAAAGTTTCCAGATGGTATCAACGTCTTGTCACTCTTCTCTGGAATTGGCGGTGCTGAAATTGCTCTTTACCGTCTTGGTATTCCATTGAAAAATGTGATTTCCGTGGAAATATGTGAAGTCAATAGGAATATTATGAAAAGCTGGTGGGAGCAAACTAACCAGAAAGGGAATCTTATAGATTTTGACGATGTGCAGCAGCTGGATGGAGATTGCTTGGAGCGGCTCGTAGATTCATATGGAAGGTTTGATCTAGTAATTGGTGGGAGCCCGTGCAACAACCTTACAGGAAGCAATAGGGTGAGCAGGGATGGGCTTGAAGGCAAAGAATCTTCTCTATTTTTTCACTATGTTCGGATACTGGATTTGGTGAAGTTAATAACGTCCAGATGATAGCATGATAGAGATTAGCTCAAGTTTCAGAAAGGGATGGGCTTGAAGGCGAAAAGTAGTTGTTATCTTTGGTTTTGGGCTCTTTTCTCTTTAAAAAACTGTTCATATGTGTGGATGTACAACAAAAACAGAACAGAGATAGGATTTGTCTTTGCTCTTTGAAAAACTGATGTACATATTTTTTGCAGCATTCCTTAGTGATATCTTGATACAACTATTACTATTCTCAAAACTAAAAACAATTACTAGTTTTTCCACTTCATTCAAAACTCTATACCTACTCAAATCGAGACAACCAAATGGGATGGAGGTCGTGTGCTCTTGTCACACTTGTGAGACTTAATGCTAGAGCTGGGAGCTGAATCATCCGGTCAAACAGTCTACATTCTGAACCTCTATGACCACTATTTTAGTTCAAGTATACCAACTCTTAGAAGAAGAATCTGACATTGCTTTGTTAGAGCATACAGTTTGGACAGCAGAATGTAGTTGTGATCAGGAAAAAGCAGTAGTAGGCAAGTTCTGTACTTTGGTTTTCCTTCATTTTGGCAAATAATTACTTTACTAAGCACCTTTTCTAATTATTGAGATTTGAGTTTCGATGATTAACACGTGTGTCCAATGAACACGTGCTGCCACGATTCGACCGGTCGATTTGCTTTATAGATCTCCATTCCCCTATTTAAGACTTCCAGTATGTGCTTTTACTAGTGTTATGACTTGCGGGGATGGTTGGTTTGGTTTTGGAAAGGTCCGGGTTGAATTCCGAACACTTAGTTTCATAATAATTGTCTAAGGTGATCAAATTTCACTTGAGTCAATGCTTCTAGTAAACGACCTCAGAATCGGGATTCGAAGGTTCCAATAGGTTCTTATGATGATTTTGGACTTGGGCATATGTTGGGATTGAGTTTCGGTTGGGTCGGGAGCGTTTCGGCGCTTATTGTTGAAAGTTGGCATTTTGATGGTTTTAGAATTCCCTAAGTTTGACTTGAAGTGGATTTTGGTATTACCAATGTCCGTTTGGGATTCTGAACCTTGAAATAGGTTCGAATTGTGATTTATGACTTGTGCATAAAATTTGGCATCATTCCGAGTTGTCTGAGAATGTTCCAACGCGTTCGGAGCTGAATGAAATGAGTTTGAAGCTTAGAAGTTGATTAATGAGGTTTTGAGGCGCGATTCTTGAATTCGGTGTTGTTTTATGTGTTCCGAGGCTTCGATTAGGTCCGCAATATGTTTATGGACTAGTTGGTACATTTGGATGGGGACCGAGGGTGGCTCAGGCATGTTTCGGACCATCCGGAGCAAGTTGGAGTTGGCTGAAAATTGTTGGTGTGTTTCGCGAACACGATCGCAAAGAAGGAAGTTTGGAGTGGCAGCTGATTTCCCTTCGCGAACACGAAGAAGGGTCCACGAACGCGAAGTGGACCTGGCAGTGCTTCGCGAACGCGGAGGCCCAACCGTGATCGCGAAGAAGAAAAAGGACGAAGTTGGGCAGGAAGGCTTTTGGCCTTAGCAAACACGATCTGCGGATCGAGAACGCGGAAGGTTGCAGAGTGCTTCATCGCGAATGCGACCATTACATCGCGAACGCGAAGAGTATTTTGGCAGTGGAAGAAATTTGCGTTCGCGATCACGAGGCATTTTCCGCGATCGCGAAGAAGGAATCACTAGGAAGACTTGAATTTATTACGGGACTTAGTCTCTGTTCCTCATTTTCTACTCGGTCTTGGATGAATTTGAGAGCATTTTGTAGGGGATTTTCATGAACATCACAAGGTTAGTGATCCCTATCAATTCTTGAGTTAAATACACAGACTATGCGTAGATTTAACATGAAATTAGAGAAGAATTTGCTGGATTTTTGTTAGAACCTAGGATTTGGTAAAAATGGGCTTTGACCTCGAAATTGATTATAGATTTGGGGATAAATTACATATTTGAGTTCGTGAGATCATGAGTAACATTTATCTTCGAAATTTTTGAAATTCGGGCACGTGGGTCCCGGGGTGATTTTTATGGACTTTCCAGGTTTGGTTGAGAATTAGTTTAATAGTTAAATTATGAAGCAAGGTAAGTCTTTTGCCTAACCTTGTAAGAGGGAATTTATCCCCTTAGGTGTATCAATTATTGTGTGTTACTTGTCGTGGGGATCTACGTACGCACGAGGTGACAAGAGACCCTATGTAGCTATACATTATGTTATGTCCGGGACCTAGATTCACATCATACCTTAATTGTGCTACTTGTATTTATCATGCGTACTTGATTCCCATAATTTATAACTGAGATTATGGTTAGAAAAAAAATATTGATTGAGCCTTTTAGTTTGGAAATTTGTGAAATTATTTGATGAACTATAGATCCGTGTCTTCTCGACTCGAATGTAATTCCGCAAGAGAGGTAGTTTCTCTACTCTTATGAGATCGGATTGTACGCCTCAACGGTGTTGTAAATTACTCTTATGGGATTGGGTTGTTCGCCTCAGCAGTATGGTGGTCATTCGCCTCGGCAGACTTGTGCTTTATACTCGAATTGGATTGGCTTTTGGTATTAGTTGAGTTAGCGCCTTTGAGGCCGGTTATGACATTTAAGTGATTTGATATAGATTCATATTGAAATTTTTTACTATTAATGTTTTATATTTTTTACTATTAATGTTTTATCTGTTTCGTTGCTACTTTGTACATCCTCCATGTCTACTTTATGCATTTTATTACTATTTGACCACTAGTAACTGTCAAGTCGACCCATCGTTACTACTTCTTCAAGGTTAGACTAGATACTTACTGGGTGCGTGTTGGTGTACGTACTCACGCTACACTTCTGCACTGAATGTGCAGATACTGACACAGGTACATCCAGTGGTCACACGGGCCCGTAGACGCACTTCCACGAAGACTTAGTGGTGAGCTTCTTGCCTTGCTTCGATTTTGCAGCACCGGAGTCTCCCTCTATCTTGTTTACTGTTTTTGTCTATTTTACTTCGGATAGTAGTTGTATTAGTTTCATATATTCTCTAGATTGCTCATGCATTTGTAGCACCGAGTTTTGGGGGCTTCTAGCATTTATGCACTGTTTGTACTTATTATTACTCTCACCGTGGTTTATGTATTAGTCACACTTGATATGTTTGAGAAGGAAACATGTACGGTTTCATGAGATTTTACTTTTATTCGGTGTATTTAAGGAAACTTCTATTTTTAAAAGTTAAAAAGGAATAATTAAATTGGAGATTCACGTGTGGGCTTGCCTAACGGCGGTGTTAGGTACCATCGCGACCTATTATAGGTTTTGGGTCGTGACAACTTGGTATCAGAGTGTTAGGTTCATATAGGTCTCACGAGTCATGAGCAGACCTAGTATAGTCTTGGGGATCTCTGCGAAGACGTCCGTACTTATCTTCGAGAGGCTATAGAGTGTTAGGAAACCTCTGTTTCTTCATCTCCTATCGTGTAGTTGATATTGTGTTAAGTATATTTCTATTATTCTCTCACAGATGGTGAGAACGCACACAACTGATATACCCGATGGTAGAGGAGCTGCTCCCCCCATTGCTAGAGGCCAAGGTAGAGGTCGAGAAAGGGCTCCAACTCTTGTCAGAGGACGAGGGCGTCCTAGAGTTGCTCCTGTTGTACCACTAGTGGATCCAGTAGACGATCCTGTTATTGAGGAGCAAGATGAGGCGCTTGCAGCTGAGCCAACCCCAGCAGATTTCATGACTACACTAGAATTCTAGGAGGTCATGGGCCAGTGTTACGGTTCATGAATTCTATGACGCAGGCTGGTTTATTTCTAACTGACCCAACCACATCTCAAGTAGGAGGGGGAGCACAGACCCTTACCGCTTAGGCTCCAGGGAACGCTGCTACTGTTTATCAGATCCCAGGTGCACTACCTGCGGGCAGGATCCAGCCAGTTGTAGCGGTTGTGCCAGAGCCCAGATCAGTCACAATCGTTGAGCAGCAGAAGTGGATAGATAAATGGACTAGGCTTCGTCCTCCTGTCATTGGGGGTGAGCGATCAGAGGACCCCCACGATTTCATTGACCTATGTAAGGAGAGGCTACGTAACATGGGGATATTGGAGTCCAACGGGGTGGACTTCACAACCTTTCACCTTGAGGGAAAGGCCCGCAGATGGTGGCAGACTTACCTCTTTAGTAGGCCAGCAGGTTCACCTCCCTTGACTTGGGATCAGTTCACGCATCTAACTTAGGAGAAGTACATACAACCTTTAGAGCGAGAGGAGCTTTGGCATCAGCTCGAGTGGCTCCGTCAGGGTCATATGTCTGTGACCGACTATGAGGTGAGATTCACTAACTTGTCCCGCCATGCAGCTATTATACTCCCAGTGGATGAAGAGAGGGTGCAGAGGTTCATTGCAGGTATGCACCCTGAGATTCAGGTTTCTATGGCCTTTGAGGTAGAGATGGGGACTCAATTTCATAAGATTGTGGATATGGCTCGTAGGATCAAGCGAATATGAAACCGCAGTGGAGAGTTTACACCGAGGGATAAGCGGCCCCGACATTTTGGTGGATTCAATGGTGCCCTGCCTGAGGGAAGAGGTCAGTTCATCAGGGGCCAGTCTAGCAGGCCCGTGTATTCAGACCACCGCCTGCTCGGGGTGCTCCAGGTCGACCCTACTTCAGTGCTATTCTAGAGAGTACTTACCGTTCGCTAGCTATTCAGCATCCTTTCAGTGTGTATTCAGGCCATCAAATTTAGACTTCGGGTCAGTAATTCATCACCCCGAGGGGTTGTTTTAAGTGCGGGGAATTGGGCCACATGAAGAGGTTTTGTCCCAAACTTCGGGGCAAGGTAGTGCAGCTGGACCATCGGCCCATGATTACCACACCCGCTACCACACCGGCCGGCCAGAGGCGATGGAAAGGTGGGTAGGGTCGCCCTAGAGGTGAAGGCCAGTCTTGTGGCACTCCGGCTAGATTCTATGTTTTCCTAGACAGGCCAGAGGCAGTCGCCTCCGATGTAGTGATCACATGCACTATTTCTATTTGTAGTAGGGATGTCTCAGTACTATTTGATCCATGGTCTACTTATTCCTATGTCTCTTCTCTATTTGCTCCTTATCTGGATGTATCTCGCAAGTCCTTGGGTGTTCCTGTAAATGTATCCATGCCAGTGGGTGATTCTATTGTTATGGATCGAGTCTACCAGTCCTATATAGTGACTTTCTGTGG